ATCCCATTTACTCGATAATCGAGTTTCGAAAAAAAAAGTCAATAACACTGGATTAATCAAGCGAATCGTTGACATTTTTGTTCTTGTATCTGTGTAACGTTCCTCCTCTCTGTTCTGATTTCAACTTAGTCGTCGAATCGATTTTCGAAACCGGAGAATTCGCTTCTATACGCTGGACAAACTTGGGCTGAAATTTTCTGTCGAATAACTTGGATCTTGAATTTTACGACAAACAGAGACTTTGCGATCCATGGGATCTCTATGTGTTTTCGCATGTAGCTTCTGCTATATCGTTTCCCTCGTTTCACAAGTTAGCGACAGTCCGTACAGTTTGCTGAACACTCGAGCTCACGAAGCGGTCATACGATCTGGTTGCGTAACATAGCCACGACTTCGTATCCTTCCGGTCTCGCTATGTCAACCATTGTTACGAGAAAACCGTAAGCAGATTGGAGTACGCTATTTCCATAGGTTTGTCATCGACGATTCGATTTTACGTTCGATTAAATAAATCGACTTCGATTAAAATAAGTCGAAAGAGACTCAGAGTCAAAATAGAATCAAAACAAAGATTATACGATCGAAGTGGTTAGAAATCAATGAAATGGTAATTTGATTCTGAAAGTTCTTCCTTCGAAAGAGAAAAAGAAACATTGTTTTCTGTTCGAATCTCTCGCGTTCCTCGTTTGCCATTATCTTCCGACGGAATTTCAGCCAATCGTTGATCAAAGAAGCGAAAACGCGCGGTGAACCGTATGCGAAACAGTGTAGGTGGCGAATTAATCGTCGACGAACCGTATCCATTTGCTCGTCTTCCCATTCGTTGCTCCTTGAACCGTACGAATCGAGACGCGCCACGTGTTTTCCGAATGCGAACGTCGAAGTAAATACGGACCAAAAAGAACCACGTGATCTCTTTTCTCTTTATCGTGCCCTCTTTTCGTATCCCTGGAGAATTCTCGCCTAATTTCTCGGAGTTTTCCTAAAGTACGTAGCTTGGAGCCGAAAACGTGATCGAAAAGGAAGATAAATGAAAAAAGTTTAACGGGACAAAATTCAAACTTATTTATTTGTCTGAGAACTGTCACGAATCGTAAGGGAAAATAATTATTTAAAAATCTACAGTCGCGTGCGCGTTCTTCACTTTTGATCTACGTGACTTTTGAATTTTATGGACCATCAAATTCTCAAATAGCGAAATATAGATGAAACAGTGAAAAGGAGCCATACGGATTTCACGATAAGCATCGTATCTCGAAAATCATCTCGAATCCATCTTGTCGACTCCCATACGAGCATTTATTACTTTTCCGGAAATTTACGAGGCAATTTCATATCGATGAGATATTTAATCGGAAGCGGTGATGATTCTTTGTGATTGATTCACGCGAGAGCAACGGTTCTCTGATCTGGACCAAGTCCTTGATTTCTCAGAAATCGTGTAAGAATATTCCGGAAACGTTTCCTCGCACTTGCTGTTAATCAACGTCGAGAACCTTGGAATATCCCGTTTGACTTTCTTGATTTTCCCTACGACTTTCTTATTTCTGTGGAAAAATTTTGGTTCATAAATAAAGATATCGTCATCAGCCGATATTATCGCGTCATTTGCTGCTGCGTTTCGATTCTACCTGCCAGGAACCAACCGCGTCTTCATTAACCGATGTTCTGATAATCAACGTTCCCCTACATAGAATCGCTTCGAATCCATTGTTTGTTTCAAAATCTCGAATAAGAGGATCGCGGTGAATGAGCATCCTTGTATTCCAGTTACGACCGTCCTCGAGTCTCTGTGAAAGCAATGGTGATCGTAACATCGCGTTTCATTGGTAATGCCGTGGCGTTAAATCCGACGCGTAAAGCTGGAGGATTTTAATTATCGTCGAGAAGGCGAGGATCGTCAACGCCTACGTTCATCTGCCATTCTACAATTTCTGCATTTCAACGCCAACGAATTTCAATCTCGCTGCAATGTACGATAAAACAATTTCAAAAATAAAAAAGAAGAATAACATCCACTCAACCTTCTTCATTTTTAGAAACTAATTAAACGATTTAAAAGTATCGGCGTTAATACGTTCTTAATGCGAAAAGTTTACGATAGAAAGAGCGCGATAATGAGAATAAATAGAAGAAAACTATTCTTTCGCGTTTTCTGACTATTAGCGTTCAGCGTGAACGAGACTTTGTTTTAATCTGTAGTACCGTTCGACTAGCAAATTACGGTCGTTTTCCGTCTCGCTTTTAACCGTATAAAAGCATCGCGATTAAACGTTCCGCCCTCGTAGTATACCGTGTAACGCCGGACATTAAAATTTAAATGTGATTGCAGTTTCGTTTAACGATATTAAATAGGAATTCCGCGGGCCAGCCACCGCTTAACGACCGTAACGACCGACCGGCACCAAAGTTACGCCTCCTTTCGCGTTATTTTAGCGTTCGTAACGTGATAGCGCCACGACGGAAGCGAACCCATTGGCCGTACTTCTCTTCTCCCTGGTAAGAGGGTTCCTTGTAATGTAATTACCCGTGACCGCCACATACCTTCGATAGCTCCGATGCACGTCATCTCGACAACATGATTCTGGAAAACGCACACTGCCTGGAAATGGTACAACACGGTACAACATTTGTAGTTTTTCAAGTCTGTTTATCCGTTATTCCAATCTATGAATTTTTCTCTCGTTGTCGCTTTTCCGTGAATCAGCGAAGGGACTTTGGAGTTTTCAAGAAAATTTTCCTACACGAGGGTTGATTCTTTCGCAAATTTCTCTTTTCTCGAGTTCGAGGAACACGTTAAGAGTAGAAAAACACAATTCGATAGTCGCGAACTGAAACTTTGACGATCCTTCGATTTTTCTGATCTCTAGAAAAATCTCTGGTAAGATGACTATTTGCGTCTCCGATTCACGCGATGTAAACTTCTGTCTGTTTCTAATTTCACGAGTAGAATACGTTTAATTATTACGATATATCGCAAATTTTCGTACGGAAAGAGCGAATTCGTGACAACGAGTATTTTACGCAATTTTACGATAAAAACTGCATGCGCCAAAACGATTATTTTGTTTGCCTCCTTCGAAAAATTTAACGAAAACACCTTTTTTTTTACAATGGTTCTTATTTTTCGAAACTTCCTGGTACTTTCGAGCGATGTACTCGTGTTCCATAGAAAGCATTTGTTTGTTCGTAACGAAAGAAATTCCACTTGTCTTACGATGATCGACTTCGTCGTTTAAATTTCAGGAGCAGAGTAAACTCTTTCAGTCGGTGTGCTTAAGTTTCATAAGAAGTTTCTTCGCCCTTCGTTTTGGAGATCCGAAAAGAGACATCGCTCGCGTACACAGGACTATAAATTTAGACGCCCGAGTACTTCGAAAGTGGCGCGTTATTGCTTGCGAACCGAAGTAGCGGTATTTTCCAACCGGATGTCTCCAAAGGACGAACATCTAGAATTCTCTCGAAGAAACAACCTCCGCTGTGGTGCATCGTGTCACGAAATCGTTGAAAATTACAAGCATCTCTTGCATTCTGTAAAGAAATTGCTCTAAACATTTACAGCCATTAGTTTTCTTTTTAACGTTATTAGTCTTTCTATCTTCGGCAAACTATCATATTCACCTTGCCTTAGTTTATAACAGCGTAACACAATCATTTTAGAAAAAATGAAATTTCTGTTATTAGAATTCTTTTGCACGATAATTTAACACTGCGAATATTCGTGCAAATTTAAGATTTTACAGATAGAGTTAAAAGAACGAATTTCGAATAAAGATTTGTACCTCTGCGCATCTAAATTTCCACCCGTAAACATCTATATTCTATCGATTAATATCGTTCGTTCGTTCGAAATTCATTCGTTCGCGAGAACCCAGGAAATACGTTCGGTGATACAGTTACGCGTTTCATCTGGAAATCTGTCGAACGACGGTGATACTGGAGAAGTTATAAAAATCAACAGCGGGTAACACGTTCCCTTGAAAAATCGTGTAATACGTGTCGTGTACTGCTTTAGAGGGCTATTAGAAACATTATCGAGCTGATATACGAAGGTATTATCGGGCTTATCGAGCAAGTTATGAGATCAGGATACGGTATTACCACGCCTCGTGTGGAAGGAACCCTGTCGAAGCCACGGTGGCAATAATAAATAAACAACGTAAAAGAAATGGGAAACTGCGGACATACGTTCGACCGAGGATACTCTCGAAGGATACTAAAGCGAATTCTTCGTGAAAGCGTTTCGTTGTTTTTCTCGCCGTTCTTCCCTACCTAATTTCTAACCCCTGCGACATTAAGCTTGTTATTTTACGACTGACCATTTTGTCATTCGAATACGGTTAGGTAATTCGTAAAGAGTTATCCGTTTTACGCGGCAGAAATGATAAAACGAAACGCGGATGGTACAATTGGCAGAAAGTGTAGCATTTCGGAGAAAATCACCGTGGTTCGCTTGTGATTTATGGGTGGTTCTCGACGGGCAAAGAAACACCGTTGACGTGTCGGTTTCCAGTGGCAGCTATGTTCGTGAAAATAAAAGGCCAAAAAGAGAATCGTACGATAGGACGATATTTACATTCGTACGAGATGTCATGAAATACATTTTTCGGTACGATGAAATCTTCCTCTTTGATTGCTCGATTCGCACTCCTTTAGCGTACGCTAATTGCTCATACGCGATTAACGTTAATTCGTCGGCGAGCTTCTCATCCCATTTTCCGAACCGTCCGTTTTCCGCGTAGAACCTAATCGTTCGTCTCTTGCGAAACTGTACTTCACCATATCGAATGGTGTCTTGTCTTATGGTGAATGGTTCTGTGTCTTAGCGATAATAGTAAAAAGCAACATGGAATAATTCGATTATTTTCTTAAGGAAGTATAGCACCCTGAGACGTCTGAAAACATAAAGTTTAGCGATTTTTCGCATAAATAGTTATGGAACGAAAGACTCAGATTTTTTAGGAATAATATCGATTATAAAAATACAAATATTCCGCTAATTTTTAAATCGTTAGGCTCGCGAAACAGATCCTTTTTTTTATTCTATCATAAGGACAAACTGTGCGGTGTCGGACAAACAGAAGTTAGCTAATCTCTTAAAGATTTCGCGTAATGATTTAAGCAGGGAACTTCATCTCGTTATGGACGACGGATTCTAATTGTTACAGATAGGTATTCAACTACTGTAATCCGTTAAGCGCGGCTGTATTTACCTGGATTCTGCAACCTGAATTACCGTTTTGCGTTTACCTGTTGTTTGCTGTACGCTGGAAATTCCGATGATCGCGCGGGAATATTCAGAGGGAGTTGGTAAAATGAGATTATCTTCCGCGGTGTATTGTATGTCTTTTGCAACGGATCGTGTCAAATATTTAGATTTTACTTTGGCGGAAATTAAGATATTTGGTAATTGATCAAGTTAACCTACAGTGTTTAACGAATATCCCGTACAGTTGACTGTTCGATCAAAGTTCGTATTCCTATCGCAAAATCGATTATGGAACCCGTAGGCGGAAGCGATAGCTTTTTAAGCAAATCTTCGAAAATTCCCAGCTCGTGTTTCCAGTGCTTCCGATATTTAACTTACGCTCTTCGAAGATCCTCGCAGTATCGCGCCGGCTTATATCGTCAAATAAAGACCATCCGTAGTATAAAGTTGCCAATGTTGACTGCAAGAAATTACTATCAGTTGGCGAACCCATGAGAATCGACTACACACTTTTCAACAAGTTCGCCACGGTATATCGTTTAACCTGTTCGTATCGACGATCCGATAATCGACGTTTGTTTGACATTTAATTAAGAAACGGAAATTTCTCACCGCTAGATCGCAATCTCGTTCATCCAACTGTTCTCGCTGAACGAGAACGCCGCGATGTTCTCGTTCGTTCTCGCAATTTCGAGTAAGTATTTTTACAACGACGTTTACGTTGTTCCTGTTCATTTTTTAAATGCATCCCCGCTGGGACTATCTAGGAGTAGGTCACATAATGATCCGCACTCGTGCTCGTTTCTTGGCTTTTACGAGCACGTGTGTAGACTGAAATTAACGAGCTGAAACGAACTGTGCTCGCATGTGATACGTTGAAGCTTGTTTCACGACTGGCCCCGTTCGAAACTGTGTGCGTATCTTCGATGTGGCTGTTGTAGCTACTATGCTTTCTAAACAGAATGAGTTTCGTTGTTAGCTTGATCAGATCTTATACTCGAGCTGGTTTCGACGACGAATCTATTCTCTTTTAATAGTTGAACTGCGATAGCACTTCGGTAATTTATTGTTAATTTAAGCGGGAACACGAGGATAATTGGAATAAAGTAAAATTCGATATTGGCTGTAAAATTTAAAAAATTGTAAAATTTCTGAATCGCGAGAAGCGACGAATCGATTCTGTTTCGTCGAGTATACTGGAAATTAGAATACATTGAAATTCAAATTTCAGCGTGATTTTATGAATCTCCCAGTCGGCGAAATTTAGTTTTTCTTGGGTAAAATTTCATCCCTCGCGAGGTAGATACATTCAGAAGAAGAATAACTCGAGGTTCAAAAGCATCGTACTTTTAAATTTGCGAAACAGAATAATTGCGTGCCATAGAACGACGCGTAGTAATGAAAACCTCTTCGCAGTTCAAAAGATATGCTGATTGAAAGGCAAACGTAGGACAATCAGCGCGACTATTCGCTACTTATATCGCTAGTTTATTGAAGACCAACGTTCCTTAAACACGATTCCATCCTTTCATCGCCATCTCGATTCTTCAACGTGTTACTTGCGAAGGCAGCTTTTGATCTTTATGATCAGCTCTCGAAACTTTATACATTCACGCGTTAACTTTTACTTTACTTTACACAACTTGATAAGTAGAGAAAATTGATAGCGACTGACAATTTTCTTCCTCTTCCCGTCTTTTCTTTTTTATACGACAATTGACGGTCATAACGTCGATTTATTTGTTGCTCGACTTCATTGAACATTTTTCGAATTACTATCGAGTATATAGTGTTGTTGAAATACACGTTTTTGTCTCTAGGGTTCGATCAAGTCGAGCAAAAATCGTGATCCACGAACACAGTGTCCATCATCGGATGACGAAACGATGTTCTCTTCGTATCCTCCTCATCGTGCGCGTATACAAGAATTTTTCAAACTCGAACTACAACGACAGTTTTTTTTTCTTTTTAGTTTTAAGACTAATGAAAGCGGTAAATTCCCATAACTACGCAACACGCTGTCAAACGTTCGCTATTAGTCTCCGTCCACGATGTATTTTTCAACTTGAACGTTCTGAAAGAACGTTTAACTTTTTAAATGATCGACACGTTGTTTTCACAAAGTAAACCGATCCGAAATACAGCGATAAATCACGAAAATACTCGACGACTTCTTGCGATAGTCCTTGGAACAATTTTATCCCGATCTTCGCCACGATTTCTCTTCCACACAATGTGCGCCTTGTCACGAGTAAGAAAAGAGGGTGAATAAAAATCGAAATAATGGAACGAGGCATCGAGGAAGCAAGAAAACGCGAAAGAAAGCTGTTCCAACCGCGAGTCTCCGGGGCAACTTGTTGTTCTCTTCTTCGAGGCATGCTGTATCGATCTTTCTCAGCCATAGATCGAATAGACTCGTTCGTAGAGACGTTGAAGCACTATCGTCGTGCTTCTTACTAGGCAGAAACGTGTCGCTGAAATACTCTGTCTTTGGCACGGAAACCGTTCGTTTTTTCCTTTCGTTGAACCATCCACGTTAATCGATAAATACATCGATCGACTACGGTATATGTATATAATATGTACAAATTTGACTTGCTTTTCTTCTCGTTTAATTTATTTACCAATGGAATTTCATTAAATTTTATACGATCTCTCGAGCGATGGTATTCTGTACAGAAATAAGACTCGCCTCTTCAACAGCGATTTTATCAAAGGGTTTCTGTTCTTTGATAGCGCTTACGTTCCCGCGCTTGGCAAACTCATCGACGATTCGTTTATTCTCCCGGTTGCTGTGCGTGCGTGTAGAGTTAACTAAACGGAATGACCGCGCTCTTGACCCGTTCTTCAAGAGGAGCAATGGCGGCACGTGCGTCACGGGTCAAGCAATGCTCGGCCTCCTTCCTCGACCGATTTCCAGTAATATTCCAGCCTTTTTGCGGCTATTGTTCGAAACCAGCTACTACAACGAAGGAATTGAACGAGACGACTGTACAGAAATGGGCGTTTACATTCGGTTGACGCACGAACGTGATTTTGGAGCAAATCCATCGGTACCAGGATCGCGAGGGAAAGTAGCAAAAATTCGATGAACGATCTTATCGAGTCGCTGTTTCGACGATTCTAACGTCATCTGAAAATTCGTTCCACGACATCGATCTTCTTCGTTCCTTAAAATCAGTTCTCTTCTTGCACGATGATCCTAGGCTCATCTGGTCATCGTGACAAGGAAAAGAAAAAAATAAGAGGCCATCGTTAGCCCGTCGTTCGCATTTCGTTGAATCGTTATCTTCGTTTTCTTCGTTTATTCTTTACACCTGCGTCAATAATGTCAATTGTGTTCCATTTTTCATCGCGTCTTTCTCTCTCTGCGTTTGATCTCTCGGCTCGTTGCCTATGGTAATATTCGATCGTGACGTCATGGTCACCGTCGTCGTGGAAGTTTTGCTGATCAGTAATCCTCTCTCGGCGTCTTCGTCTTCCAGCTCCATCCTCGATTGACCGGATGTAGCTTGTCGATTCGACTGAAGCCTTTCAGCGTTCGCCTTGTTCCGCCGTGGAAATACACTGTTCTCGATATGCAACGTGGCATTCACGTCCTTCCCAGCGGCGCAAGTGCACGCTTTCAAGAAACTTTTCTTGAAATTGTCGCTGAGGAAAGCGTATAAGATAGGATTCATCGCGCTGTTGCTATAACTGAGAAAGCCAGCGAGTAAGAAACTGGTAATCGTGATCTTGCTCTGACACTGTTTGGGTGGAGTGTAGATCAACGCCACTTGCATCAGCCAGTAGGGCAGCCAGCACAAAACGTACACCGTGATCACCGTCAGCACTAACTTGGTCACTTTACGATGCGATCGTTTCTTCTCCTTGGACTTGTTCTTTGGTCCGACCGTTTGAAGCTTCCTGATTACGAGGAAATAAAAGATCAGAATGAGAATCAGTGGAATGGCGAAGCCTAGGATGAACGTGTACAAAGTAAAGGTAGTGTGGCCTCCGCGATCGTTCGGCCAGTAGATGTTACAGTTGATTCCTTTCTCAGACTCCATCGCGTTGGCGTACAGAAATATAGGGATCATAAAGAGAGCGCTCGTGGCCCAGGCTGTTAGAGAGACCACTTTGGAGATGAATGGCGTACGAATCTTCGGCGAAGATATCGGATGACACACGGCGATGTAACGATCGGCGCTCATGATGAAAAGGAAGATGCTGCTGGTAAACTGATTGATGCTGGTTGTAGTCATATACGCTTTGCACATGATCTTCCCGAAGATCCAGCTACGTAGGCTCATCGTGGTCACCAGGAAAGGTATTCCTATCAAGAAACACTCGTCCGCTATAGCCAGGTTCACGATGTACATGTTGGTCACTGTTTGCATCTTCGAGAACCGTAACACCACGTAAATCACCAGAGTATTTCCGAGAAGACCAACGATGCAGACGATAGAGTAGAGAATCTGATTAACCAGCGAGACGATCGGCAGATCAGCCTCGCAATTCTGGATCATCGACTCCTCCTGATTCATCTTGCGAGCGTAGTCGATCATGCTCGGCGTCGTCTCGTAGCTTATTATCGTGGCGTTCATTTTGCTCCAGCCGTCTTAGATTCTTCGTCCAACGAACGATCCTCGTCCCCTTCGTAAATTTACTTTTTTCTCCAACGATCTTCTCCCGGAGATTATTCACACGACGGCTTTCGATTGATGGTTCAAGAGATCTAACTGCGATTACTCGGCACGAAGAAAGATTACCGAGACAGTCTTTACTTTCTCTTTTTCACGGGATTTGTTCGTCTTTAGGGGAGATACGAATGTATGAACCGCCTTTTAGGAATTAAACGCGTGTTCGTCGTATTCCGTCGAGGATCAGAGGGTAGACGAAGGATCGCTGCGCCGACAACGACGATACGAGAGATGGATCCGACGTCATTCCGTCAGCTGTGAAACGATTGCGCTTCCGGACACCCGATCGCTCGGAAGTCAACGCTGCACGCTCGCCTTCTCCCGTTTCCTCCCGAGCACACGAGTCTGAAACAAAAGAAAGCACCGTTTTTCAAATTTGATTTCACCATGTTCAGGAGTAAATTGACGCCTCTTCGGATGAATCCGACATTTTTTCTTTATACATGTGGTAACTTACATGGGTCTTAGAGTAAGGACAAGTAATGATGTTTTATTTAGAGTTTAGTTTAGTTTAATAAGCGATACTCAATACAAAGGAACCGATTACAATCTCGTCGTACGTTTTATTATCATACTCTCCGGCTTCTCCACTTACACTCTCTGACTTCTCGATTCACACTGCCCATTCTCAAACTGACACACTGCGTCCTCTCAACTAACATTCTAGCCGTTCTAGCATCCCTTTGTCCTTTCCTAAGCCCACCACACGCGTGTTCCGCAAACGCTCGTTGCCAGGGTCACGTAAGCTTTTTCTACAAAACTATACACTTGAAAAGACCGACGACACATTGATGGACCCGACGGCGCCTCGTCTCTCGCGGCGTTGTTCATGGTTAACTCGATGTTTCTTAGGCCCTTTCCCCCGATACTACATACAGATTAAATTTAAATTTGTCTTTAAGCGGTTTCGATACGGACAGCGAGTGAGCTAAGCTATTGAAAACTTTCTGATTGAATTCCTGAGGATTTTTTAGATCTGGAGTACAAAGATTTAGTTGGCAAGGGTTCGACGAGCAGTTTCAACCCCATTATTGGCGACAATAGACTCAATTTGTGTGGTGTATAGCACCAGTTGCTTTCATCGGATGAATCGATGGAGGGTGTATCTCAAAGAGAAGGCGATCGAGAAGTTTGAACCATCTGAAATTCTTATTGCTTTTGTAATACGAGTTTGATCTTACGATTATAAGTTCTAAGTGTTTTCAATAGTTATACCTGATAAAATAATTATAGTCTCTTATATTGTTTATGAACGAGTATAATTTTTTATTTCGGTTGTGAAATTACAGTTGAATTATCGTTGCAGTTGAATCTTCGATAGATCGCGATATCAAATTCTTCATATTTCATCAATTAAATATGCAATATTATGCACGCTTGCAAACATTAATCGTTTGAATGTTCTACATAATTAATAATCGATAATTAATTAAACATATATCTAAATGTAAATATGTATGAATTTGTAAATAATCATCACTTTTTGTTGCCCTATATTATATATATAACGATCCTTTTACGGTCAAAGCTTCGAAAGCATTCGCAACACGTTTGTTATACAATTGGCACGAAACGTTAAATTAAACAAATGTGCGCAAGTAAACTGCAACACACAAAACACCGCCGTATTCCATTCTAATTAAATTCCACTCCAATTAAACAGAAACAGACTGCTATATCATATTATACTTAACTCTAGTTCTCCAAGACAGTTCTGTATCCAAACAACCCTAACAGCGCAACTGTTGATTTAGATACTAGAACTTGGTGGAATTTACTTAAACCTCTTGCAACGTTTGAAACACTTAAAACGTTGCTCTGTGTCACTTTAATTAAACAAACTATGACTACACTACGATTGTTGTCGTTCCGCAAACTCTTTGATAGTAGTCGATTCGAAATATTTCACACAGCTCTCGTTCGGATTCTATTTTTGAGTTTGCTTTTCTTCTATTGACCTTGTTTCACAATTTCGTTAATAATTAATTAATTTCGTTCCTAAATAATTAATTTCGTTGTATTATATGGTAAATCATTCATCGACGTCATAAATTAAGTACTAACCTCTCCAAGATCATTCTCTTTCCAAAATAAACCTAGCAACGCGATTGTTGATCTAATGAAACGTAAATCTTTGGGAACAGGGTAGCTCCGAAAACCGAGAATCCTGTTGACAACTCTGCAACAAGCAGGGAAGGTTAGATTGCGAGGAACATTACGGTGATCCGAGTTGACTCGTGACTTGAGAGTTCAACGTTTCGGGCAACCACAGCTTGTGGCTTTTGCCACGCTGGTAAGCCGATCAAGCGGCTCGAGAAACTCGAGAACTCGACGCGAAACTGTACCGGATGTTCTTCGTTGCCCCAATGTTTAAGGATGATTTTCAATGCAGCGAAAGCGACTACGCACGATCCGTTGGTAAAAGCGTTGGAACACTGGCGTTGATCGCTCTGCACGATCGTTTCGCCAATCCTTCGCTGCTTCCCGAGACTCTGATGCTTTTAGAAGTCGCAAGATTCAGATTTGCAATTTCTTTAGAACGAGGCTGCGACGTAATCAATTTTGACAGATTTCTGCTGGAGAACTCGGAGAACATGTAAGAGCTGATGGTGAAAAATTGCGAAGACTCAGGGTAAGGTGAAATTCGTTTGATTCAGAAGTTGTTTTTCGATAAAGGTACGAGTGGCTGAGAATCGTAATGGTAAAATTCAACAAAATAACAAGACCGTAGCAAGTTAACATGCAAGAAACTAACGTTACTTTTCCAGTTGATACTTTCGAATGCTTTACAAGGTTGGCGCGCCTCGATTATCCATCGATTTTATCTGAAATAATTCAATGAAACGATGATCGTCGATGTTTCACATCGGTAGCACGAATTCCTTGCTTTGATTACTCTCGCAAATTATATCGCACGTCTCGTTTGAAAATCACGATGGTTCGTTCATGAAAGATCGTCATTATCGTTTCGGGCGCGAGTATTATTAGCAGGAAAGTTCGCGTTGTTCATGGAAAAGAGAGAACCTCGTTCTCGTTTAACTCGCTTCGCGTTTTCTCCAGTTTCATTAAACGCGAGTCATTATCGGTATCCAATGGAAAGAGTTATCTGTGTTTTCATCGGGTCGCTGCGTTGAAATATTATTCGTTGGTGGCCTCTTGGACGTAAAGTTCGCCGAAATCCTCGTTAAAGCGTCCAACTACGAGATAATCGGGAGCCAAAAAAGGATCTCCTTCTCGTCCGACTCGATCGTGAAAATGTTCAAGGAGCATTCAGGACGATCGTTCGATTCGTTTTCTATTAAACTCCGTTGAAGTGGAATTAAGTCGACGCGCGATCGCAGCACGGGAAACATATTGTTTTAGAAGCACTCATTAGTCTCTGGTATTAGACGATGCGAAATGAATGGCGATATGACGAACGCTTAAACCGTGAGAAAATTCGCGGTGCGTCGTGTTGCTCCGCAAGCTAATGAGCGCCGATCGATCGCCATTATCGGGCCATCCTTCCTATAGCCTTGCAATTACCCGTAAAACGATCGTCTTAACGTTTCAGCAATTTACTTTCCGCCCCTTTTTACCCTGGCAAATTTATTTCCGCATTGTTTGAACAACGAGTAGAGCAAACGAAGATTAACCGTACGAGTGATCGTTTCACTGAACGAACGTTTTGATTAAACATTCACGACTATCTTTATTATAAAAACATTAAGCGCCATTAAATACAAATACCGTTGTTTAAATTGTAGAAGAAGAAGAAATTGTTGCATACTAAATAGTTTAATTACTAATTTTTTATTTCGAGTTAATTCTCTGAAAGATGTATTTTCCTCGGTTGTACGGATCTTCTATTTCTCCAAGTCATTTATCACGAACGATCACGAGCAGACTCTTCAGCGAATAATGACGCTTGTTCTGGCCAGGAAACAAAGTAGTAGTTGCGACAAGATATTATTAGCGTATTTGCTTGCAACGTTCCGAATAACCGCGGTACATCAATTTTGGCAGAAATCCAGATCTCAACAGCAACACGTGGAATTTTCGTATTAAACGTCGAATTTCATTCGAACTGCTTTCCAAATGAAACGTCCCTCTTATTGCGATTTTTTCTTCCTCCGTGTTATTCTTCCTCCGTGTTATTCTTCCTTCGTGCTAGAAAATATATCCTCGAGAAAAACACGACGAAACGTCTCATTACGTATACATCGTTTTCGTATTATTACATAGCCTCCTTCTGTCCCTGGGTAATATCGCATAAAAGATGAATAGCATAAGTCCAAGGAGAAACTAATATTCTACATTGTATTCGCTTGCTCCATTCTTTATCAACGTTCTTTATTTTCGCCGAGAAAAAAGAACCACAATTCTGTCCAGTATACAATTAACCATTGTGCACTTGCTACAAAAAGAAGAAAAAAAAAACAAAACAAAAAAGAAAAAAAAAGAATATCACGGTAATAACCTTCTTCCGTGCAGTTGCCGAGTACTTTTAATGAAGTGCAGACAGTTGTAGAAACGTATCAACATTTTATCCAATAAACTCGTGGTCGTCGTATTAATTTGATATATTCATCTAGCTACAAAAGACGAAGAAAGAAAGAACAATTGAGCGCAGATTTTCTAACAAACTTTCAACAGACTTACGATAAAACAAACGCTTAACAACACGCCAGCCTATTTGCAAGGTCAGATCTTATTCCGATAAATTTGTCACCGTATTACTGCTCGTCTGGCTTATGAACGACTCATATCACTGATATAGTCTGTGTTTATTCTTGTATAAAATTGAGAGTCGTGCAGCTTACGAATTTAAATATACGTCGATCTGCATACAAAAGTGGAACTTCCACTTGACAACGAGCTTCCAAGGTCAAGCTAATTTTTCACTCAAGTTCTCTCTCTCTCTCAAAAAGAAAAAAAAAAAAAAAGAAACGAGAAAAGAGACAAAAAGAAGGAAACGACAGATTTCAAGAGTTTATCTTGAAATATACGTAAGATAGTACAAGATCGCATTAACGATGTAAAATGTACAAAAATATCAAAGACGATATTCGAAACTTTTTCGTTTGGATATTGTTTATATTAAAAGAATTCTCTATACATAATAGAATTACACAGCAGTACGTTAGTCGCGTTAATATCGACTTAAATGATAAATAACTCGCTGTCCATAAATATTAAGCTCGTGGCTTGTTATCCGGCAATGTTTGCGAACGGAACAGAGAGTAGAGCAAAAGCATAGATACGATCTCTAATATATGAAGAAACCAGGGGAATTCGTATTTCATGAATTCAGCACGATACAGTGGTATCGATACTTGTTGAGCAAAAGTCGTCCGTTTCGCCAC